AAACTGAAGGTTCTATCTCATCCAGCAAATTGGTGATATATGAGGATAGTAACAAAATCCAGGAGTTTCACTCCTCTCTTTGAGTAAAAAATAAAAAGGTTCTTTTTTACCCACTACTTTGCATGTCATTTGTACAATGAATGCCCCAAACATATTTAAACATACTCTTTATCCTCCTTTTCCTTTCTAATGCACCCCTACCAAACCTCAAAAATCTACCTGCAGGACAGCAGCTTCTAAGTGTGTCCCTTAAGTCCCTGAGCAGGTCATTATCTAGCTCCTCACCCTCTCCTGTCACAGACTTTGAGGCAAAGCTTTACAAAATATCTAATCCCTTCTCTTCCCATCCCAATCACACAATAAACAGGCAAAGGAAAAAACAAATTGTGTGTGTAAAAAGGTGGGGGTGGCAGAAGCATTGGAAAGCGAGAGAAAAACCTCTAATGAATTCAAAGCCGCTTTCCACCACATTACCCCCATCCGCTCGGATCTGTCTGGCTTGGAGCAAAGTTTCCCAAACTTGTAAAGAACAACTGCTGCTTTCTCTCCCCTTTGTTTTCCCCCTCTCAGGATGGAAAATGAATTTCAAGCATCGCTCTGGAGCCTGCCAAGTAATTGGAAAACATGTTGAACAATTTGTTTGGTTGGTTGGTGGAGGCTGGATTTCTTTCTTTTTTTTTCTTCCTCCGATTTTCTGTGAAATATCAATTCCACTTTGCCCGCTTTCTGGCTGCTGGTTAATCAACTCCACGCGGAGCCCTTGGTCTTACACTCAGGTTCCTCTTACATTTCACTGAAGAAAGGAGGGAGGAAATGGAGAGAGCTTGCTTAGGGTTTTTCTTAAAGGCATCATCTCCATTTTCCTTCACTATATTTCATTCCTGGGAACATCTCCCTGGGGGACCGTCTCTCTTACTGCCCCCTCCACTTTCTCAAAGTTCACAGCAGAATGCAAAGCGCAGCTGAAGTCCTTGGATAACTCAGAGACCCTCATTCTCCTAGGATCCTGGGATTTAGAGCGAAGGGGGACTGAAAATCATTTATTCCAATCACCTCATTTTACAGGTGATACTGAAGCCCAAGGGCACACAGCTAGTGGGGCTAGAATTAGAATCTAAATACTTTGATTCCAAATCCCGGCGTTCTTTTCGACGTTGTTTGATTTCCGAAGAGACTTATTATTTCACACCCCAAATGACTCCCTTCTCTATCCGTTTTGTTTGCCATTTGAGCTCTTCTTTTCTTAAAGATTTTATTCTGTCTAGAATATCTTCTTTGATCTACCCTGAATTCCCCCTTCTCCTTTCACTCTATTCTGTCCTACCCGTGCCCTTCCCTGCTCCGTGCCCCTGCCATTATTCCCAGACTGAGCCCGAGTGTCATACTACCCAGAACGCTTGCTCTTCACGGCCCCTTCCTGCTCCCTCTTTTCTGAAAGCCAATTCTCTTCTTTCCTCCGCGAGCACTGCCACGGAGAATCAGCAAAGGGAACTGGAACAGAAAGGAGAGCTGTTCGTTACATATTAAATAAAATATACTGTATTTCAGAGCTGTTGGAGTGATGATTTAAACATGAAGTCAAAGTCAGTAATGGTGTTGTCAGAGCTGTAATGTTAACACCGATCAATAATTCACCGACATGTTGCAACTGTGCCTCAGGCGGCAGAGTCAGCCTCTGGCAGCCATCCGAGGCTTCCATCTCAAAGGCTCTTACCTAGTTGTGGGCACTGGTGACGGTATTTCAAAACCTAAAGCTAGTGTTTTTCCCTAGTTCCCAGCTAGTGAATGATTTCCCGCCCCCTGCCCTGGTCCTGAACTTTGGCCTTTCCAAAGACCTCTCTACAGACTCGTGATTTGGCGCTGGCAGAAGCTCCGACCTTCAGCCTGTCCTCCAGAGTTCTCTCTGTGCCCTCACTGTCTCAGACCTATAGGACAGCTCTCTCCAGCACCACCTACTGCTCTGGGCTCTGCTTTCCATCTGAGTCCCTAAACTATCATTCAAAACTCACCCTCCTGTTCCCCAAGCTGACTCCCTCCATCTGCCACTACTTTACCGCCCTACGCCCATCGCTCCATCCCAGTCAGGGACACAACTTCAGAATCCTATATTCCACTCCAATTATTTATACCTTCTAATCCTAGCCTTCTATCTCACAATCTGCAACAACCCACCCTCAAATTTCACCCCATCCTGAGCCACTCTCAAAGAAATAAATACCAATTACCCCCACCTCCCCTCAAATGTCATCTCCTCCATGAAACCTTCACTTTCTGTACATAACCCTTCTGAAATCATAGAGCAATTTGTTTTGCACCTATTTAGTACACTTATGTAATTTATGTATTAAAGGCATTTTCACACTGAAGATGTTTAGATGGTTACAATAGAGCCCTGGCCTTGGAGTAAGAAAGACCTGAGTTCAAATCCTACCTCAGACACTTTTATTAGCTGTGTAACCTTAGATAAGATGCTTAACCTTTCTCAAATTCAGTTTCCTCATCTGTAAAATGTGGATAATAGTACCTGCCTCATAATATTGTTACGAGGATCAAATGAAATCATCTATAGAAAGTGCCTTGCAACCCTTAAAACCCAATATAAATACTATTATTTTTTAGTTGTTTGTGTATGTGTCATTCTTCTACTAACATGTAAGTTCTATGAGGACTGGGACCAGGCTTTATATGAAAGTTGTACCACTACCCCCATTTCTACTACAGTATGTTATAGTATATAGTAGTTACTTAATAAATGTTTGTTAGATTTAGTTGAACTTGTTGAATAAGGTAACTGCAGAGGTGAGACCTCAAAACTCACCTAGTTCAACCCTTACTCAAAGTAAGAATCCCCCCTACAAATAGGCATTCAGTCTCTGCTCCATTAATAATATTATAGGTGTTGGTTATGATTGTTGTTACTTTTACTGGACCTGTGATTTCATCAGTTTGGGAAGCTCCTGGTGAGGGACTTCATCTACCAACCCAAATGAGGCACCTCCTCTGCAACTTCCAGGCTTAGAAAGTGGCCAGGGGCACTGAGAGGTTAAATGACTTGCCTATGTCATATAGCAAGTATGTACCAGAAGCAGGTCTTGAATCCAGGTCTTCCTGACTCCAAGGCCATCTCTATTTACTATGTCACAGTGCTCTCGTTGTTATTCTCGTTGTTTCTAGTCTGCCTAAATATTCAGCTTTCCTCAGCCTACCAAACAATCTTGTTCTCATCATTCAAGTGTCTTTCAAGTTCTTCATCTCATGCATAAAACTTGCCTGGATTGATTGTTTGGCCAGAAAATAACTTGACAATTTACACCTTGTTCCCTCTGATCTCAACTGGAATTCTAGTAGCTACTCCAGCTACCCCCTCCTTTCCCATGTCAATACATCTACTCTTAACCTGCACATAATTTAAATATTCATGTCTTGTGTTTCCTTAATGTGTTTGTTCTTTCTGTATACCCTCTTCTTTTACCTATATCAGTGAATCTTAAGATCACAAGCTCCCAGAGGACAAAGGCTCTGGCTAGATGATTCTCTTTCTACAATACCCTACAAGATGCCACCCACATTTAGGAACTTAATGTTAAGAATGAAGATATACATGACACTTGGCACACAAAGGCAGATTACCACACTACCACCATCAAAAATCTCTCAGTGATATCCTTCAATGGTCCCCACACGTTTCTCTTTCTCTCCCTCCTCGTTCTCCTCCTCCTCCTCCTCCTCCTCCTTCCTCCTTTTCCTCCTCCTTGTCTCTCTCACTCCTCTCCTTTTGGATCTATGACCCACAAAGCCTTTATTAGTTCTTTCAGCTCCATTTAGCTACACAAATGGCTTGGTCACAGCTGACTGGTCCCAAATTTGCCAGTGATTTTCTTTTAATTCACCATGGCTCAGTCCCCTGTGTAACACAGGTAGAGGCAGCATATTTGTTCCCAAACTCTCCTCGTGGGGTTAATCATGCACAGAACAAAACTCCATTTGAGCCACTTAATGATTTCATTTCCATCCAAGGTTTGAAGTTGTTGTGGCCATATTATTATCTCTTCCTACAATACTAGATGACTGCATGTACTCACACACGTGTACTTATATACATACATGTCCTATATCACAATAAATTCCAAAAGTAACAAGCAATAGGTATCACTTAGTTGCTCAGTCAGAGGCCTCAAAGGCCTCTTTTCCAAATACCGAGAAACCCTGTGCATACATCACCTATTCTCAAAAGCCTTTCCTGAGTAATCCCAAGTAAATAGCATTTATATAACACTTTAGAGTATTTAAAGTGCTTCAGAAAAGCTCATTTTAACCTCATAATCACTGAGAGATAAGCACTATTATTTAGCCCATTTTATAGATAAGAAAACTGAAGCAGAGATTAAATGACTTGCCCAGGTGCACACTAGTCTGAGACTAGATTTTGGACCAGGTCTTTTTACATCCAAGGCCAATGTCCTATTTACTGTGCTTAGCTTCCTATAAATCTTGACTTCTTTCTCTTGGGCTCTGTCAGCCTATATTGAGTCATTTTGTACTGTATTTTAATTGTAACTTGTTTCTATATTTCTTTGTAAATGTTCTCAATTGAGTACCTGTAAATGTGTGTGCACTCTAGAGGACTAGACTTCAAAGTTCCTCAAAGATAGATACCATGTCTTAGATAATCTCTTATGGCTCCCCCAATAATGCCTAGCACTGCACAGAGATCTCTCCAAACCTGATCACTCAATCCCTGCAGCACACTTGATTGAGAGACACCTCTCCCATTTTGACATAATCACTTCTTCTGTGGAGAAATAGTACCATCTGGTGGCAACTAGCAATATGGCCTATGAAACCATTTTTGCTTATCCAAGGGGGTCGCAGACTTTCCTTCTTCCCTTAGACTGAAGATCTCTGAGCTGGAACAATGGCAAAGACATTTCTCTCTCCACATCCCCCAAATCAAAGGTGATTGAAGGATATTGGAAGTGCAACCACAGGCACACAGGAAGATGGTTCTTAAATAGCATGTCTCTTTATTTAGTAGTTTAGTGGGAAGATGCAAATGTCACCACTGTCAAGGTTATGGATTCATCAGATGGATATTCTTTCCCCAGGACATGCCACACTGGTCAAACATCCAGGTCAGGGGGAGCAGGAGGACCTCAAATGTGAACCAGAAAGGACACCAACCTGGAGGCCAGAAGCAGAGAAATAGACACAATAGTGAGCACAGAATTGGGGGAATGACCACACCATGGGGATGGGCAGATCTCTCTACTCTTCACCCTGTTGTCTCCCAAATCCTGCATCTCACTCTTAAGAGAAAGTTGTAGGGAAAGCCTAGTTGTATATCTGTACATGTCTTACTTTCTGTACTAGAACTCAAGCTCCTAAAGGGCACAAACTATCTAATTAATCTTTATATTCTCTCCAATGGCTGGCTCAGTGTTTGCACATTAAAGAGAATCACAGAAACAAAGAGTCCTAGAGTTGGAAGGTACACAAATACTATCTTATCCAATGCATAATTCTCTCTACAAAATTAATTCTGTTTCTTGACATATAACAAGGGAACCAGTCATGCAGATACTGTTTGAAGATATCCAGTGAGTGCTTATAAATATTTGTTGAATGAATGCTCTATAATAATTTTAATTTTGACCTTATATTTTATAAGATACTTTAGTTCATTTTTGTCAAAGTACTGCCACACAGCTGTCCCTCACTATTTCATGTACAACTATATTTGTGTGAAGTTATAGGAGCGATTGAAATTGAAGCCATGAGAATTATTTATCCAAGGTTACACACCTGGTTAGTAGCAGAGCTGAGATTAGAACCCAGGTCTCCTGACTCCTAGTCCAGGGAACAAAAGCTTCTGTGATCTTGATTTTCAGTAAGTTTTTTTCCTTAAAAGCAGGGCCTCATGATCCTTCTGACCTTTGGGCTTTTAAACAGGTGGTATTAGAAAAGTCTTTCTACTACATTACAACTATAGAATCAAAGACACTTACATGGATTTTGCTTTAGAGTTCTTACTGGAACCAGAGAGATGAATAACAAGATAAATGGAGTAGCCTTCTCACAAGGGCTATTTCTCAGGCAAACCAAAGGCAGAGCTAGTCTGCCCCCCACACCTGCTTCTTTATTACCCACTTCTATCCCTACTAGCTCTAGCCTCCCTTTTCTCCACCCTCGCCTACCCCCTCCACTCCATCCAAACTGACCTGCTTTATTATTTGTCTCACCTGCTGATCCTAGCAGTCTGAGAAAGAGTCTTGAACACTGGGGGCACATTCAACCATAACTTGAGACACGCTGGACAAGAGAAAGATGGTATGAAATAACTGCAGTCACCCAGGGCCCCATGGGGCAGGAGACTTTAAGGGAGTCACAATGGCCAGGTACTTGGCTTGGGGCTTCCTAGTGATCTGAGTGCCTATGCCTACTTACACAGCAGGAAGATGGACCCAGGACATGGGTTTGGATGGGAGAATTCATGGAGTGGGAAAGGAAAATGGAGGTCAATTGAGCTGTTTTCACTGAATGTAGAATTCACCAGGCAGCAGCCTAAGAGGCTTATATAAATATCCTGTTTTTAGGCTAATTGGGCAGTGACTAAAGAGACCCATGTCTTTTAGGCAAGGACACCAAATCTAAAGCTTAGCCTTTTGGATTGCACTCTGAACATTCCTATCCCCAAACCAGGAAACCAGAAAAGCCTTCTTGAAAAGAGTCTCACCTTCTTCTCACCTGCTCTATCCTCTCCCGCATGGCCTCATCTCTCACATCGCTTGGGACTTGGAAGATACGGGTGTGGCTGCAAAATGTCATTCAAGCATTTTGGTTTTCAAGTTTTTTCTATTGCACACCACCCAAGGGGAGTACAGGATTATAAAAACCTGTTCCCTTGGTCCCCTTAAAGATGATACCTCCTTCATGGACCCTTTCTCAGAAGAATGTTTTTTAAATGCATCAAATAACACATACAATTACAAAGGATATCAAATATATTGAAATGTTATTGAAATATTTTTAATAAGTTCAAGAACCCCAGATTAAGAATCTTTAAACCACACAAAACTCAAAACTAGTTTCCCTGAGTGGCGAAATATACCCAGCTTATCAGCTTATCAAATGGCTCAAGATAGATTGAGTAAATTGCTCCATCATATTTTCCCATTTTCTATTATGATACAGAAACCAGAGGTCTTGTATTTCCCCAGGTTTCATAGTAGAGAAGTGATACAGCAAAAAGAAATTCAAGCATTCAAATAAAAATAAATGTTCTCCCCAAAATCAAAATAAATGTCTATGATCCTTACAATTCAAATAAAGCCTTAGAAATCTCAGGGCATGAAATCTGTCGAACGTCAATTTCTTGTGGCAATATTTAGTAGTGGTGACAGAGAAAATCCAACATCACAGGTAATACACAACTCATTGAGATTTTATTTTCTTATAGTATCACTGGTTATTTTTTGAAACAACAGAAGCCAATTGGTCCTATTATGATGTGCTTATTTTCCTAAGCCTCTCTCATAAAGCTTCCAAGTTGATGGCTATTCACCAGTCTACAGTTGGCTATCTACCTAACACAATCTAGGGGTGGTGAATCTGCAGCCTCTAGGTCCTTAAGAGTGGCCTTTGAAAATCAAAGGGCCTGATTTCCAAAGGGTTGCACTTGAGGACCTACAAGGCCACATATGGCCTCGAAGCCACAGATTCTCCACCCCTGCGTACACTTTCTGCCTCCCTAACTTTGCTCAAATTGTTCTACCAACCTTCAAGGAACTCCCCACTTTCTCCTCTTTGCATATCCAACTCCAATCCATCCTTTAAGACCCAGCTGTATCTGCCATGAAACTTCCCTCAACCACCCTCAGGCAAAGTTACATCTCTCTTCTGAATTAATAATACAAATTATCTCATTTTTCACTTATCCTAGACTATTCTTCTGATATCTTCTTATTTAATTTTTCATGTATCTGACACATATTACAAGCTCCTTGAGGAAAGGATCTTTTTCTTTTTATATATCTTTATATTCCATATGGTATCTAGCATAGCACTGTATAAATTAATAGATATTTAATGAATATTTTGCCAGATGAATATTAAAGTAAGTTAGTAAACCCTAAATGAGTAAAGCCAGTCTGAGTTTTTTTAAATTGCCATGGATAAGGAAAGACTGCCTATGGATAATTTATAGTTTATAAGTATATAATTTATATGTATGCTTATATATTTTATAATATATAGCTATATATCATGTAATATACATGTTTATTAGATATATTTACAGATTATCTAACTTATAGAGTCTCTGATTTAGAGCTAGGGAAAAAACTAAAGATTGTCTACTTCCATCTCACTTCAGAGATGCAGATGAAGAAAGTTGAGGCCCAGAGAAGTTAAACAACTTGCCCAAGATCTCACAGATGATCAGCATCAAATGTGAGATTTGAATTCAGGTCTCCTGACTCCAAAACCAATACCACTCTGTAATGGTCATGATTCAGACTAAGAAATGCAAAATCTCATCATCCCTATCTCTAATAATACCTAAAAGAAAGGTATCCATGCGCAAGAGAGTCGGCCTCACCTAGGGATGTAGTAAGCAGTTATCTAAAGCTGTAATTTAGAGGTCTCAGAAAGCCTTTGACACTTCAGGAATTATGATGAATCAAATCTTTGATGTAGATACTCCCTCCATTGCCATAGCTCATGACCCCCATCAGCACCTTTGAATCTGGTACCACTCTTGTTCTTCCATAGATCCTCCAAAGAAGATCTCCCTGAAGGGCTAGAGTCTTCCTTCTAGGTCTTTATGTATCAGAAGTTCCAATGTATAAATCTGGCTATTAACCTGCACTCCTACCACATAATCAACTTCCTTTTCTAATCATATCCTTCTCTTCTAGTACCCTAATGCCACTTGCCCTAAATCCTAATATGACTTCTTAAGCATAGGTCATTGTTTGGAATATGTTTCAGTCTACTTATACACACCATCTGCCTGTCCATTGCCCCAGGGTCAATGGAGTTTGTGGTATTCCAAGATGTGGAGACATACAATATTACCATGATGACATCTGTATGAAAAAGTGGGGGGGTTTTGCACTGTTTGCCCAATTTCCCAAATGCACTCCAACCATTTCTCTAGACCATTGCTCATCTGCAATATTTGTCTTAAAGGTACCACTTTACCAACTCAAGGGACTGGCCTTTCAACTGAATGTGCTAGTTAGGCCAGGGGTGGGGAACCTGTGTCCTCAAGGCCACATGTGGCCTTCTAGGTCCTTGGATGTGGCCTTTTGACTGAGTCCAAGTTTTCCAGAACAAATCCTTTTATTAAGGGGATTTGCTCTGTGAAGTTTGGATTCAGTCAAAAGGCCAAACTTGAGGACCTAGGGGACCACATAAGGCCTCCAGGCTGCAGGTTCCCTACCCCTGGTAGACAATAGGCATTTTTAATCCTTCTGATTTTTCTTGGATTTTTAAACTCATTTTGAAGAACCATGTATCTCAATGAGAAGGCTCTTTAATGTTCTTGGTTTGACACATTTCATACAATGCTATTCACCAACAGGAATATCACCATTGACAGATAATTTCTCTTTCATTTAGACCCTGTACAGGATGCTTTCCATAATAGTGGTAAACACCCTTGTTTAACATACTTAATACATCTTTATTTTATTTTTCACTATGTCTTGATAATCAAAGTAAACAGGATTCTTTATTGGAGGCAATTCTTTAAAATAGTATTTTATTTACTGAGTCAAATTTTTTTATAGTCAACAAGCAATGAAAAGTGAGATTGTACTTTCTACAATATTAGATTAACCTTATGATTGTGTAGAAAATCGATTTGTCTATGGTATACACACAAATTATGTGTACTTGGTCTTTTCCATCCATTCTTCTTGAATTCTTAAATGCCATTTATCATACTCTCATATTTTCATCAAGGTTACCTTCAAAATACATGTAGGCAATTCTCATAAAGTTTTTTTTAAACAAATGAGAAAGTAAGCACATAGATCAGTTGTAACTGAGGTCTTCTGTATCACATTTCTAGATAGTAATGTCATTCATGGTTTCCATTCTTTGGTAGATCTGTAACTAGGACTTTTTGTTCATAGGCTGGCACCACAAACTCTGCTCCAGTCCATATGGAATGAGGTGGAAGGAACTGCAGCCACTGTACTATGTATGTTGTGGTTAGGGGAGTAGAGAGATCACCCTGTGGGACATGCCTCGCCCCAGGGGCAGAGAATATGGAATACCATGTTGCCACATCTCATCCCAGCCTAACAGAAAAAGCTGTTTTGGTGCTTCCTATTTTAACTAATTATTCTCGATAAGTGTTTTTAGGGTACCAGAAAAGTATGGTATGGTTGGAAAAGGAAGTGAGTTGATTGTGTGGTAGGAGTGCAGGTTAATAGCTAGATTGACAACATTGATACTTGTGCATGAATGCCTTTCTTTTAGGTATTATTAGAGACAAGAATGTTGAGATTTTGCATTTCTTAGTTTGAATCTTGACCTTACAGAGTGGTACAGTGGAAAAAGCATTGGTTTTAGAGTCAGAAGACCTGAAATTCAAATCTCACATTTGATGGTGACCATCTGTGAGATCTTAGGCAAGTTGTTTAACTTCTCTAGGCCTCAACTTTCTTCATCTGCATCTCTGAAGTGAGATGGAAGTAGATGATCTTTAGTTTTTTTTCTAGCTCTAAATCAGAGATCCTATAAATAATACAAACTATATTTTATAAATATGGAACACATATATAATTATATATCATACAAGCATGTATATATATATATATATATATGTGTGTGTGTGTGTGTGTGTGTGTGTGTGTGTGTGTGTGTATTAGAGAGGCCTGAGAGCTCAGCCTTGAGGGACACTGGTCTGTAGGCCAGGGAAATGGATGGGAATGTTTGGGGGAGGTTATGGAGATTCAGTTTGAGGGCTGACAGACTTCAAGACAATATTGCAAAGACATGGGGAAAGTAGAATGGAGAATTCTAGCCTCAGGCACTAAGAAACCTCTTTTCATCTCTGTCGAAGATGAAGGCTTTGACTTTTGCATTTTAAGAGCTTATTTTCCTTTAGCTTTTAAAGTCCAATGACTTCTGAACAATTCAGGTGCAAAAATAAGAAAAATTTGAAATTGCTTTGAAAGCATAAAAGGTGGGGGGAGGGACTTTTTCCCCATGAATCATTTGAAAGCTTAGAAAAAAATAACCCCTAGAGATGGAACAAATGCAGAAAAACTTCCAATCCAAAGGACACTTTTCTGGAAAGCAGAGAAGAAAAAGAAGGTCCCTGGGAATGTGAACTAGTATAGAATTCAGAGGGAAATATCTTTGTTGTGGCCAAATGCAAGCACCCGCTACCATTACTATAGGATTTTGTCTCCTAAGGGCAAGTGGGAATGTTTTACCTCCATCTTATGAACTGGATCCTTGTTCTCTCCTCAAGGACCTCTTGGCTCCGATTTAATGATAACTCAGATTTTGAAACACGATGTTTCACCTAGAAAACCCAGATGAGAACCTTCCTGATTTCTTCTCAGGGCATGGAACAAAGAGTCAAACCAAGCTCTCTTCCTCATTTCTCTACAAATAGATGCCCCATTCATCCTCCCAAGGTCTTTGTCAATGTGCTCTAGAGAAACTATCTCTCAGTCACCCCCACTCTCCCCTTACCAATCAGTCTTAATGAAATCCCCTGGTAAGTTTGTTCCCTGCCCCATTCATCCTCCCAAGGTCTTTGTCAATGTGCTCTAGAGAAACTATCTCTCAGTCACCCCCACTCTCCCCTTACCAATCAGTCTTAATGAAATCCCCTGGTAAGTTTGTTCCCTGAGAATGTATGATTGAGCCACATAGAAACTCATGCCCTCTCTTTAGCCATCCACAGTTAAGGGAGGGGCATTATTAGTGTTTAGGTACAGCCTCTTTTCTTGGCCTGATCTTCTCCCACCCTCCAACTCTTGCCCCTGTTACCACATACATCTCTTGTCACATGTACTTCTTGGCCATGAGTTGGAGGACAGTTTGACATCTTTTGTTTGATACCTTGGGAAGCCTCTTCTTCAGTCTGAAACATAAGCATATCCTCTCTGAGGCTTCAAGAGCCCCATCAAATCCCCAGGAATATCTCTTGAAGATGCTCTTTTAGGGAATTCCCCAAACAGTTCCTTAAGACATTAGTGAACTGAAAGAGGGTATAGCTAAACTCTTATCTCAACATGCTTGAGAATCTTAGCTAACGCTCTTCCACTCCCAGAAGTTTCCTAAGAAATTTGGTGGTTAGATCTCAGCTCTAGTCTTCTTGATGAGCAGAGCCCAATTGCAGTTAAATGTTGAAGTTCAGTCTCTTGGTGGCTCACACAGAGAAGCATAGATCCCTGACCCCACTGTAGACCCCTCCCTAGTTGGTTTCTACCTTTTTTAAATGGGGATACCCATTCAGAGAGCTTCCTAACCTTTTTCAGCCAGTGTTGTACCACTGATACTGCCTGGCTTTCCACAACTTCAATGTCCTAGAAGAGATTGGGCAAAGTTAGGTCCCACTCAATCCCCAACAGCCCATGCTCATCTTCTTTTGCCTATTTTAAAAGGCACATTCAATAATTACTCCCTGGAAGTTTTACCACAAGCAATCTCACCTACCGAACTGGCTTTTGGTGGGAAGCAATATCCCATTTTTTTCCGGGCCATTATGTACACAATCCATGTTGTAATAATCATCCTTTGGCTCAGGCCAGGCCTCCTCCTCAGCTCCCTCCTTCCATAGGAGCAACCTTGGAACTCCCACAGGGCAACAGGGGCAGGGATATTGTGGCAAAACTCCAGTCTGATTGGCTAGCCACTGATGATGTGACAATGGCTGCTCTTGTTCTCCTGAGTGAAAGGGAGAGGAGTGATATTCCAGGGCAAGGGATCTAAATTTAGATTTAGAGTACCAAGTGGTACTCTAAAAGTTTTCTTGTTTTAGTTTAGCTTAGAGTACGTTTCAGATAAGAATCTGGAGGAGGCTGCCAATAGAATAAGATATAACCACTTGGGACTTAGGGGAGACATCATGGAAGGGTACCCAAAGGGAGTTTAAAAAAAAAAAGGATCAACCAATCTCCTGGGAGGAGTGTGATTTTATAAACTAAGTTATATATGGATGGAAGAGCCAATCAGGTCAAAGTTGATCTCAAGGGCTGTACTCATGTCTGTGCCTAAGCTTAGGGGACAAGTGCAATTGATTATTCCCAAGAGATATCTTGGAACATGCAGACAAAAATCTAACATAAAGGGAATGGAGAACAATTCCTCTGAAATTATCCTGAAGTTTCTTGGGACAAAACACATACAAAAAGGGGCATTCTGGTCCTTCTATTTCCTCTGTAATGTCTGCTTGCTGGCAGAGCAGTAAAGAGAAGGCTGATGTGGGAATAACTTCCAAAAAATAGTTTCTAAGAGTTCCGGACACCCAATTGCTTCCTTCCTGAGCCATACTTAGAAAAGTGTAAAATATATAGTTATCCTACAAGCCACTTTGTTGACCTTACAGCAGTTAGTTCCACCATGGGACTACTTTCCCATGTCTTTCACCATCATAGAATTTGCTGTTGCAAAGGACCTTAGAGGTCACCTAGTCCATACTCATTTAACAGATGAGGACACTGAAACCCAGAGAGGTTAGTGGATTTTAATCAAGGTCACACACGTAATAAATAATGGAGCCTAGATCTGAACTCAGGTGTGTTCATTCCTACCCCAACACTTTGATCTCAACATTAAAAGCACAGAAAAAGAGCATAATCCTGCCTGACTTGGCCCTTCTCACAGCTTGGCCTCTTGCCATTAGAGTTAAACAGGTTTTTATTTCTTTTTGTCCCCAGTGGTTCCATTTACTACTGACCATATAAGTCATTTAGCTTTCCGGTCTGGGAAAATGAACCACTCAGAATAAGAAAATCAGACTTCTTTTGATTTAAAGCCATCAATAAAATTTGACTCAATCACAATTTATTTTAAGATTCCACATCTGTTGACTGAGAGTAGCTGCCAGGTACACTTTCTGGTGAGTGAGTAAAATTGACTGGTTTGACATTCAGTTGCCCCAGTGAGTTTTATATTTAAAATTCAGTAAGTACTTGTAAAGTAGAACTTCTGATACATGAGGTATGAGAATGAAAGAGAAATAATGTCCCATCAGCCACCATGTTTTGTTCTGTGGATTCAGAGCATCTTCATTTTGAGAATCACTCCATTTTGTTCACATGCATATGTCTGTACTCTCCCATTAGTGCTTGCCATGCAAGTAACTCAAAATAGGATGTACCATGTTTCTCCTCTGCCTCCCTTCCCAACCATTCCCAACTGCTTCCAGGTCCTGGGACAAGGGCCAGTACTTATTTTCATGGCTGATCTCATAAGACTATGTTTTTAGACTGTTTATCCTAAAATGAACATGGGGGAGGGGGTGTGGGAGAAGGTGATGTAACAAGAGGAGTTTCTTTGAGTTACTCTTTCAGTTACACAATTTCATAGTGTCAGCTTTCATCCACCATAAATTAAAATGCTGAACTCTGACTTGGGCCCTGAAATCTAGGATTCTAGGAAAGCAACACACATGTGTAAATTAGACAGATAACCCAGTATCCTTTCAGGCTAAATCTTTACACTAATCTAATAGCTCTGATTTGACTTGCTGGCAAATATCTTAATGCTGGATGCAAGAGGCTGTAACTATATCATTCCTGAGAGCTCCTTCAGGGCTGAAACTATTAGTTTTTGTCTTCCTATCCTCAATGCCTACCTTAATGACTGGCACATAGCAAGTGCTAAAGAAATACCTGTTTAATCTAAATTGAATAGGAATTTATTTCAAAGGCCTCAAACCCTTAAATCAGGGTACACAGTTCAACTAGAACACAATGGGTGTTTAAATGGATAGAGTGGAAAAGAAAAAAATTGCCTTTATGCTTATGTGAAATAGGCAACCACCTGCCTGTGATCTCAGGAGAAGGGAAAGGGCCCAGTTGTCCAAAGAATATATTAAAGGCACACATTTGCTTGTATATGAAGTCCCTTTACAAATGGACAGTCTTTATAAGAAACAAAGTGACCACTTGACAACATAGTTTCTTCATCTATAAAATGAGGTGTAGGACTAGATAATTAATCTCTAAGGTCCCTTTCACCTCTAATATTCCATTATCACATTGCTAGTGGGAGAAAGAAGTACAGGATTCATTTGCTCTAAAGCAGCAGTTCTCAAAGTGTGGTCTATAAGCCTTTGAGGCCCCCCAGGATCCTTTCATGGGGTCCATGAGGACAAAACCATTTTCATAATAACACTAAGATATTATTTGCCTATTAGAACAATCCTTTTTCCAGCTATATATCTGTGTGAGGCCAGATCCTCTGCATATACTTCAACCAAAACACAATATCACAACAGATTGAAAGCAAGAGCAGATATGAAAACTCAGATGTCTTCTTAAGCCAGATATTAAAGAAATTTATAAAAATATGTAAAATGATGCCATTCTCACTATTTTTTGCTTTCAAAAATATAGTTTTTGTTCAAAATTATGTTAATATGTAATGGGTTTGTTATTATTTTAAATTAATAAATATTTTAAATTTTTTATCAGTTTTAATTTCTACTATGATAAATATGAATAAATATAATCCACATAAACAAAAGCTCTTTGGAATTCTCAATAATTTTTAAAATTGTAAAGGGGCCCTTAGGTCAAAACAGTTGAGAATCACTGCTCTGAGGTATAAAGAACTAATGTCAGATTGCTTCCTAAGAGTAGGCGTGATTGCAGAGAGCTCCTAAAGCTGAAGGAGGACCCAGAGGTCCTATAGCGTACAAATCATAAGCCAGAGAAAGAACTGGTAAGTAGAAGTATTCATGGAATAATTTTACATATATACATACCTATTTGTGTGTAATGGTAGCCATCTCTATGGAGGGGGGGGAGAGTGGAAAAAAGGGAAAAAAAAGAAATTTACGTGATAACTTCATTGTATTTAAAAGGAATAGCAAGTTGTACATAACAGATTTGCAGTTTCATGTGCAATCACCTTTTTTATTATACTATGTTACAGAAATGCTTGTTTTATTCCATCAATTAAAAATAAAATAAATGTGAAAAAGAGGCAGTATATTGTGGTTGCAGGTGCAGCCACCAAACACTGAAATTGGAGTCAGAAATCCTAGGTTCACTACTAAATTGTTATGTGGTATTGGCAAGTAATGACTTCCCTGAACCTCAGTTGATCCATCTCTAAAATGGAGATAATAAAATCCTCTCATGCCCACTTCATATCTGTTATTGTGAAGATCAAGTAAGATAACAAATGTGAAAACAAATATTTATTGGGGAAATGTATGCAAATATAAGTTCAGGATCAGCATTAAATTCAACAGAGAGGAGTTCCTCCATACTTCAAACTATTTCTTTGACTAATCCCATCCAATCATTCTCTTAAACCACCTTGCCATCTTCCCTACTTGCCTACCCTGCTTCTCCTTACCTGCACCAGCATTCTCCAACCCTACTTCAAGAACCCATAATGACCAAATCCCTGGGTTAGTTAATCCACTCAGTTTTGGAATTCTCATCCTGGGGCTAAGTGATTCAGTGAGTGCAAGCTTGGCTAGTCCACTATATCTAGCTTCAACAGACCAGATCATGCTTCATAGTCCATCTAGATGTCCACTCCTGTCATTCTGCTATCTGCCCTGAGGTACAACACCTACCCATTTCTATTTTCCACCTCCTCCTCTGGACACTTTTGTTTTTCAAAGAGGACCAATGACATCACAGGGTGATGTCTTGACTCCTTCATGAATTGGATTCAGGTGATGAAGAATTGCGCAAAGTCATAAGCCTCATTCTCTCTTCCAGAGACAGCAAAGTCCAGTGGCAAGACAAAAATCAGGATGACTGGCAATGGCCCAGGATGCAATGGAATGACCTTGGCATCTTTGATATCTGACCAAATTCTAAGAACTCATAGGGCCTGTTTCAGCCACCTTCATGACCATTGGAATAAATTGTTATCATCTGCCCATTCTGCCAGGAAAAGTCTTCACAGGCTTGGGGTAGACAACCCCTAACTCACCAATAGGTTTGAGGCCTATCAGTTACCCTCAACCTGGGTTAGCCCATCTGTCAAGATGGTTTACAGTTTGCTGGGGTGTGGCCACTGCATACACTACAGCTTCTTGGAACCACAGGTAAGAGTTCAATGCCAGGTGGACACCAAAGGTGGATGAGCAGCCCCGAAAAGGGCTCAGCAAGCCCTCACACCAGAGGAGCTAGTCCTGCCTGAACATCCATACACCCTATTCTAAAGCATGCATACCAACTGACTGCCCTATGGATCAGCTCAGCATCCCAATGATTTTCCCAGACCAAGACTTTCTTCCCTGGCTACCATTCCTATATGCACATTGTTTCCCCTCACAGAATGTAAGGTCCTTGAGGGCAGAGACTGTCTTACTTTTTGTATTTGTATCTGCAGACCTTAGCACAATGCCTACCACATAGTAATTATTTATATGCTTTTTCTTTCCTTCATTTATTCAACACTGCCTGAAACATTTTTTTTTCATTTTGCTGCAGTACCAAACCAATTCCCCTTTTAAAAGACAACACTTATGGGAAGATTAGGGTTTGCCACTATAGTGTTAATGAGTTTAATTAGATGCAAAGGAAACTTTTTTTTAATGAAGGGTACAAACTAACAGGAAAAAATCCAGATCTACATAACCGAAGGGCAATACTATTCATTTTTTTGAGGAAAATAC